AAGGACCAGTCCCTCCGTTTGTTTTCTGCGGAAGGGACTGAAAACGTGTCAATAGCGTTTTAAAGGGTTTGAAATTTCACGGACTTGCCAGGGCCTAGGGGTCGGCCCACAAAAGAACAGACCAGTAGCATCGGTGGGTGAAGTATTTGCTTGGGTCGGTCGAGAAAGGGAAACACTAATTTTTTTACCTAGGCCTAAGCAATAAGTGACAGAATATCCGCACACACTGCCAGCGCAAGGACGGACACAAGCCCGAGGGACGCCAGGATCCCCTCGGCACCGCTGTTGCCACTGAGGGCGGGGGCCCGAGGGTCGTTGTGGCCGGTCAGGACGTGAGTGTTGCACCTGTCCTCCGCGCAGCACAGTTTGCACACCTGTAAGAAAAGATGGAGGATATCCGTGAATAATTTGGTTAATCACTAGGTTGATGAATGATTGAACAGCAAAGTTATTTATTCAGAACAACTTGTTTCACAAGAGCTGACGTTTTGACGACCGTCTGTCATCTTCATCAGCAATCATGACTGGTTTAGTAACTGTGCACAACAACAACAACAAAAAAAACAACAAAATCTAGCGCTACCACAGTCGACATCAAATTCGTACGACGCTCTACAAACGTGAGCGGGGCCTTACCTTCTCCTGCCCGTCGGCCGTCATGCAGATCTCGTACTCCCAGTAGGAGGTGCAGGACGGCTGGCAGCTCCGCCTGTACGACACGTTCTGCCCCTCTCCGATCCGTTCCACCTGGAGGGAAAGATAAAATCCACCATGTGGTATTTCCGTGCCTACCCGACAAAACAAACATTTCAATGCGAAATGTGCAAAAGTTGAGAAAAGTTGGTGTCCATGAGCAAAAAAATGTAACAACATTAGTTCCAACATTCCGGTATTCGAATTTTCGAAATCGGTGTATCCGAAACGCGTTCGAGTTATTCTATCGAACTTTGGAAGCCTGTGTGATAACCGCGAGAGATCCGACCGAGCTGACTAGTTGCCGAAACATTGGCAGGTAGGAAAATTTTAAAACTCTTATATTCTAGAAAGCAAAATGCAAAGTGAAATTAAAACTTGACACTTAACTCAAAAGATCTAAAGTTAAACCAGTAAAAATCAATTACGAAACAAAGGTCAGAATTGGGAATTCTAATCCTAACTTACCCAGCATGCCTCATCCTCTTGACACTCAATGGCAGTTCCTCCTATTCCGTTTCCCGTCATGCACTCCCGGTCCGTTCCCTCGCAGCTGTAGCACACGGTGTTGGCTGGACCTGGAGCGGACAGAAAGTAGGAAAGTCAATCCCCAAATCTTTTCTCCAGGAGAGGAAAGAGGGAGAGAGAGAGGGGGAGAGAGAGAGAGAGAAAGAGAGAGGGAGAGGGGAGAGAGAGAAAGAGAGAGGAGGA